CAAATACTATAATGGGCACTGCTCTAAAGAGCTAGCATCTCTTGTGCTATCTATTAAATTTCATTCTCGTGTTACTCGTCATACAATTAAGTCTCATCCTTTTTCTGTTACTGTTCCTAAGTGCTCAAAAAACTCTTACTTGTCTAGTTTTTTTCCTCGAACATCAGTTCTTTGGAATTTGTTTCCTTCATCTTGCATTCCTGATTCATATAATTTGCAATCTTTAAGTCGTCTGTCAATCGTTATCTTGCTCTAAAATCTTCATCATTTCTCTTCCAGTAACTTCCAATACTAACTAGTGGTTGCTTGCAGCCTTGTTGGGAGCAAAGATATTTCAAAAAAAAAATAAAAAATAGAAGAACTAAAGGTAACTTGGGACTCAATTTACTCAAAAGGATTTGTTTAAATGATAATTTTAGGCCATACTGGTAATTGTTATGCTAAATAAGGGTATTGGAAACAGAGAAAAAACATTATCTTGTTGGACTTCCAAACTCAAAGAAGATTGATACTCATAACCATAAAGAGCGCAACTCCAAACTGTTTAATGATCTAATTAGTGAAATAAGTATAGATAAAAACATAATCAAGAGAGTTCATAATTTCAAACCCTGGAGCACCGTCAGTTAATTTTGACAACAAGGTGTTCATTTTTAACAACAAAAACAGAGTAGAAATTTTAAAAGCCGCTAGAAAGCTAAGCATTAAATAATTTTCAAAAACTATGCATTAATCCATATCAAACTGTGGTCAAAAGGAAACAAACAATAGAACTAGTTATTGACAGAAATAAACACACCAGAAAACTTGCTATAGCAGGAACTATCGACAAGCTCTTTCCAGAATGTATTCAAGGAAGTAGAGCCTGGAAGGTATTTGAGAAAGTAGAGTCATACTAATTTAATGTTGCTAAAGTTTGACTTATTAGACTTATAAACATTGCTAAGCAACAAGTTTGATGAATTATTAATTGATATTGAAATTAAGCAACCTAACCATAGAAATAATCCTAGTTATTCCTTGTCCAGACAAGACAGATTGATTAATAGGGGAGGTGGATTTATATCCATGAAAGCATCAGTTCTTTTAATTTGACTAATAGCTATTTATATAATGACATAATATTGAGAAAATATAGCACTTGGTTTGTACAGGTTATGAAATAATCCTATGTGATATATATATATATATATATATATATATATATATATATATATATATATATATATATATATATATTTATATATATATATATATATATATATATATATATATATATATATATATATATATATATATATATATATATATATATATATATATATATATATATATATATATATATATATATATATATTAGGGTAGGCCAAAAAATTTTTTTGATTTTTGATTTGCTATACCGCAAAAAACTTGCCTCTAGGGTACCTAAGGATAATGGAAAAAAATTAAACAATTATTTTAGGTTTGAAGCTAGAGCATCATGCTTAAATATTCAAAGAAATTTTAAAAAAGTTCTTATTACAGTATTCACACAATACACTGCAAACTTGGTGTGTTTGCTGCCACAAAAACTCATTTTAATATATTTTTGTTTTAATTTTTGGATAATATTAATTATTCTTTTATGGCTGTTTTTAACAAAATTACATTTTAAAGTGTAATTTTTATGAAAATTACAAACTTGCTTTGAAATCAAACAACAAGCCAGATAGGCTTTCTTATGTTTCAAATACTTTGCCCAATAAGTTAGTCTGTGTTTCATAAAGCTTTAATACTCAAAGTAGCGTTATACATTGTTGTCCAGTTTATAAATTGATAACATGACAGTTATTGTAATCTTATGAAACCCTTCAAGCGTGATAAAGAAAAAGAAAAGTTCAAAAAGAGAATTAAAGTTCTTTTAAAAAAATCACTGTTATTGTTTGATGTATTTGCATGTAAGCATAAAATAACATTAGATTGCAAATGAAAAATGGTCACTGAAATTTGTGAATGCAAATTTTCTATTTCTATTACCTGTAAGTGTAAAAAAGAAAAAAAAAATAGCCATCATTGAGCTAAATTACTTTATACTTCCAAAGAATGTATGGTATTGATAAAATTGAAAATGTTGACATAAAAGAAACAAACAAAAAATTACACAAAGACACAATAGGAAGATTATAAGATTTAACTTACTGTCATATCAATTATGCTCAGGCCATCTAGATAAAACAAAAAAGTAAAAAGAATTAAACATTGATGTCACTGCCAATATACGCACATCGAAATGAAAAATACTGCATTATCACAAATTGTCCAACAGACAAGATTTTGGATTATAACCAAATATGATAACAGACTTGTTGTAGACAAAAATAAAATTAGAAAAGCAAAAGTGAATAATCATTAAGAATTTTAAATGAAGAGTTAGGAAAAGTACATATATGTATATACATATATATAGATACATACACATATATACAGCCCTCGGAATTAGGTTTGGAATTCAGCAATACCAACCTAACAGCCAAACTTAAAATGTTTGAGGTTGGTAAAAAATTACTGACCTTCTTTCTATGTTTTATGGTAAGACCTTTGTACCAAATTTTTTTTGCTGACCTTTAAAAGATTGATATTGGCAAACTATTGCCGACCTCACTTAGCATAATTCCTGAGAGCTGTATATATATATATATATATATATATATATATATATATATATATATATATATATATATATATATATATAACTTAAATCAAAACAGTTTAGAAGTACTGTAAAGAGGAACATCACTAAATTTTACAAGAGCCAGGTTCCGTGTACCATGCATTCCATGTATGTCTATGTATTTATATATATTGCTCTCTACATATCTAAAGCTTTCGACAAAGTTTGGCATGCTGGTCTTCTCCATAAGCTTGCTTCATATGGTGTTTCTGGGAAAGTTTTTGAGATTATCAAATCATTTCTTTCTGACCGGTTTATTAAAGTCATCCTTGAAGGCCAATACTCTTCTTTATTTCCAGTAACTTCTGGGGTTCCCCAAGGTTCCATCCTGGGCCCTGTTTTGTTTCTTATCTACATAAACAATCTTCCTGACAACCTTTCATCTAAAGTAGCTCTTTTTGCTGACAACTCAACTTTATACTCCTGTCTTGACAAAAAGTCTTCTCTTTTCGTTCGCCTAGAACAAGCAGCTGATCTTGAATCTGATCTCACTTCAGTAATAGATTGGGGTTCACAGTGGCTTGTGAATTTCAACTCTAAAAAAACCCAATTGCTTACTGCAAACAACTACCGTAATATGGTCAACATTCCTATATTAATGAAAGGCAATCCTCTTACTGAGTCGTCCTCTTTACGTCTTCTTGGATTATCGCTTACTACTGACCTTTCATGGAAACCATATATACAATCGATTGCTAAATTAGCTTCTGCTAAGGTTGCTTCACTTTATCGTGCTCGCCATTTCCTTACTTCTGATTCCATTCTCTACCTCTACAAATCTTGTCCCTGTATGGAATACTGTTGTCATATTTGGGCTGGTTCTTCTAAGGATTCACTTTCTCTTCTTGACAAGGTCCAAAAACGCATTGTAAATGTTGTTGGACCTGGACTATCTGAACCTCTTTCCCATCGTCGTAAAGTTGCATCTCTTTCTCTTTTCTACAGATACTATCATGGTCACTGCTCAAAGGAGCAGTGACCATGATAGTATCTGTAGAAAAGAGAAAGTGAATCCTTAGAATCTCTAGTTCCATCAACTAAAATTCATTCTCGTTTTACTCGTCATTCAGCTAAGTCTCATTTGTTTTCTGTATCTGTCCCTGCATGCTCTAAAAACTTTTATTCATCTAGTTTTTTTCCCCGCACTTCAATCCTTTGGAACTCTCTTCTATCTTCATTTTTTCCTGACTCATACAACCTTCAACTTTTTAAGTCTTCTGTCAACCGTTTCCTTGCTCTATAACTCTGTTCTTTTTTTTTCCTAGTAACTCCCAACTTAATAGTGGTTGCTTGCAGCCTTGTTGGGAGTGAATGCAAATAAAAAAAAAAAAAAAAAATATATAATAACAATAGTAGTAGTTGTAGTAGTAGTAGCAGTAGCAGTAGCAGTAGTAGTAGTAGTAGTAGTAGTAGTAGTAGTAGTAGTAGTAGTAGTAGTAGTAGTAGTAGTAAGTAGTAGTAGTAGTAGTAGTAGTAGTAGTAGTAGTAGTAGTAGTAGTAGTAGTAGTAGTAGTAGTAGTAGTAGTAGTAGTAGTAGTAGTAGTAGTAGTAGTAGTAGTAGTAGTAGTAGTAGTAGTAGAAGTAGTCGTGGTGGTAGTGGTAGTGGTAATAATAATATTAATAATACACGATAAGATGATTTTAATGGGATAATTTTTTTTCATTTTCATGACATAATTTGACTAAAAACTAGACAGTTAAAAATCTTTATAAGTTTACTGTAATAAAACATATATAAATTTTAATTATACATTAAAATAGTTTTTTTTTAATGTTTTTAGTTCAAGCTCTGAGATTCAAAATTTGGATTTGAACAGGTTTTCATAATGTCATAATCCATATTTAAATAGGATATTATGAAAGCAATTTTTTCCAACTGAATGCCCTTTACCACCCATGTAAAGCAGGTTTACACTCTTAATGGTATAAGCTTTTAGCAGATCAGAAATAAGTATTTATGATGGGAAAAAACAAGAAAATAATATAAAATTAATATGAAAAATGCATGAAATATTGTTAATGGTGCCTTACAGATATAAATTTCCAAGGACTTTAGTATATAGATCAAATAAAGGTTTGAGTTTTGACAGATACTGTCTGGATATGTGGAACTTTTATTATAGTTAAGTCGTCATTTTAAATGTTAAATTTAGAAAAATTTATGAAGTATATATAAGTATAAAACTGTGTGTGAGCAAGTAAGTGAAGATGTGTGTATAAGTGTGCAGTTGTATGTGTGTAAGTAAATTATCCAATACATTATAGAAAATGATAATTTGTAAATACTAACCTTCTATACGGATTACAAGCTGCAATTATTTCAAGTCCACATTCTTCTAGTCCTAATGGTTTACCATCTGCTCTTTTATCTACCATTATTTCTTTAATAAGTCCAATCGCATCAGATGTGTTTGCTTCATCAAAAAATAAAATTGTATTTATCTTGTAATTCTCATAGTTTTCTTTTGCTAAACATTTTGCTTGTTTAATTCTTATGAGTATGTCTTGATGAGTCACACCTCCATGAACCTAAATGTAACAAGTTTTTTTTGAGAATTTATATAAAAAATTTATGAGGAATTAATTTATATTAATAAATTTAAAAGAAAGTATAAAACCAGATACTTTACCACGGTTTACTTTTTTATTATACTTTCCTTTTATTCTTTTATTTTCTTCAAATTAAATTGTATTATCATGTAATAATATTTTGTGTATAACTGTATTATAATAAATTATATAACTCATGATCAAATATTTTAAGGTATTGGCCTTGATGAGAAAGCTAACTAGCTAAAAAAAAAATCTTAAAGATTATTAAAAATACAACCTCAGGTACTGTTATACTGTTAAAGATATCAACTTAAATGTTTTAGAAGGACAAAATTTTTTGTCATAAATACTTAATACATCAAATACTCAAGCATACAATAAAATTATACCTTTACTAGAAACATGTTTCTTATCTTTGGATTTCCAGCTCGAAGACCACACATGAACTTTATTAATTTTGTTTTACCACACCCAGTTTCTCCCATCATGATGACAGGTATAGCACATCTAAAGTAAAAAACTACTTTAACATTTTTAAATTTTGTTTTTCAATTATACTATGACATTATTTTTATAACAATACAATTTATTATAACATGGATAACAGTTATTATTTATTAACTCAGTATGTTGCTTTGTATTGTTTTAGGCATCAAAAATAAATTCTGTAGAACTTCATTTCATTTTAAATTGGTAATAAATATATCTACATTATTTATTACAATGTTTCAAAACTTTTTTTCAAATGGCAATTAACTTCTATGGACCTATGCTTTTTAGTTTTTTAAATGACCAGTAATTGCAAAATATTAGTATGAAAAATAAAAAATAAAACCCTTTTTGTAGTCTTTTCTTTGCAAATATAAACATTTATAGGAGTGCATATGTGAGATAATCTATCCATCTAAGATTTATAAGTGACATAAAAGTTAAAAAATTATACACTAAGTTATACACACAGACAACTAAAAAGTTTTTTCATTGTTTATGTGAATAATTTACATAATTTCAATTAATATTTAACATATAATTCGTTTAAAAAATAATAATTGACAGTAATTAATATTTAACATGTAAGACATTTAAAAAATAATAATAGATAGTAATTAATAGAAGTAAATGCTATGATTAATAATAAAAATAATAATAATAATAATAATAATAATAATAATAACAATAATAATAATAATAATAATAATAATAATAATAATAATAATAATAATATTAGCAATAATAATAATAATAATAATAATAATAATAATAATAATAATAAAAGAAAAACAAACAAACGAAAAAAAAACTTCAACAATTCAAAAAATAAAACTGTCAGTTGGTTATCAAAAACTAATTTTTGTTAGCCATAATAAAAAACTTTTCCAGTACTTACTAAACCATAATAATACTTGTTTAAAATAGAAACTACATTTAGCAAAAAAATAATAACTTATATAGAAGTTATTTAACATATGGCCTTAAAGTAACAGAAACCAATCCTATATACACACCGAGCCTGCAGCCCTCAGAAGTAAAAAATTAAGGTTGGCAATAAAACTTTAAATTATTTTTAGTTGGCATCTACTTGGTATTTGGTCAGAATAAAACTTTTAGCATAAAGGTTTTATCATTACATCACATAAATAATGAGGTCAGCAAAAAATTTGCCATCCTCAATTATTTTTAATCTTCATTGTTAAATGCTGACCTTAAAGAGCTAAGCCTGTATAGACCCCAAGCTTTTATAAATTTGTTATAAATATTCAAACCTTATTTTACAATAAATTCTTTATTTTTGTTATTGTCTTTTAAAAGTCTGTAAAACTTTTTTTATGAATTTCTTCTCACCTTATTTAACCATAAATGTGCAAACCATAAATGTGCAAACTACCATAATTTTGTTAAATATACAATTGTATTAGAAAAATACTGCCTCCCTCTTCTGATACATAAATTGAGAAAGGGGATTAAAAGAATGGCAGCGAGTTACACCTACTCAAATTAATATTCTAGAGCAGCTCAAATTAAAGCCTGTCAATGATTTGATTGATTGAGATATCTTTTAAATGATAGAACTGTATGCAAACAAAATATAAAGTTAATGTCATTTATAACCAAGAGAATTTTTCAAAATATTATGATCAAAATATTATAAATTTTACAAAATATTATAACTAATAATGTTAAAATATTTTAAAGTCAAATTTTATTTCAATCAATGGATAGCCATTAAACCTAATGGATTTAATTAATGCAGTTAAAATTGTCAGATTCAAAATTGATTCCTGTTATATATAAATGGTGATTAAATTTGAATTATTAATTTTTAATTTTTTAATATAGCACATAGTTTTTTTTTGAAATAAGCAGATATTTTAATTAAATATTAAAGTAGACAAATGGCAGTTAATAATGGAAAAGAATGTCAGATAAGTTACCACCTCTTGCAGATCTACAGCTCTCCAATCTTTTAGTAATATTTTCCAACTCATGATGACATAATTGTGGTTCAATTTAAGTAATTTGCTAGATTATGCTTTCTTTCAGATGTTAAATGGTTTGAGAATTATTTTCTTTTCAAAAAACTCCATAAAAAATCTAATGGTGTTAGATCAAATGATCTTGGCCGCCAGTTACCATATTCTGCACATCAACATGCTCCAATTTGTTAAACAAAAAGTTACTAATCATTGTTCAATAATGAGCACCATTCACAGTAACAGTGTGTCCAGTTTTATTTTTAGAAACATGGACCAATCAATTCACCAGACCAAAAATCACACCAAGTAGTTACTTTTTGTGAATTTTTGTGTAATTATTTTTTCAATATTACTTGTGAATTTTCTTCACACCAGATTTGACGATTTTTTTTTTTTTTACATACCCACCAATTTCAAAATGAGCATCATCACTAAAGATCATTTTGTTAAAAATGATCTTTAGTGATGATGCTCTTTTTTTTGCTATAAGAGCCCAATTAACAAATCCATTCCATGATCAATTGCAATAACTGTGGTGTTAACTATATTTTGTAAGCTTTTAAGTAAAGATCCTATGCAAAATATTGAATAAAATGGTTTGTTTTATGCCTAATTGCTTTGAACAATCACAAATTGATGTGTTTAGCTCTTAATTACCACTTTCACTCAAACAACCACTATGACTAAAAATTTTAATTTTTTGATCATGAATTGATTTAGTTTTCTCAAATTTCTTCACAATATTTTGAATGGAGGAGTTTGTTGGATAATTTCTTCTTCTATATTTTGTATAAACTTTCTTTCAATTTCTGCATAATTTTCACTGAAAACAATTTTTTACAATAAAGATACGTTATTCAATCATATATTTCTTCATACTTATAACCACAATGTTTATAATTGGCAGCTGTCAATAAACAGAAACCATTTTAGTATGAAAAATACAAATATATATATATATATATATATATATATATATATATATATATATACATATATATATATATATATATATATATATATATATAATATATATATATATATATATAATATATATATATATATATATATATATATATATATATATATATATATATATATATATATATATATATATATATATATATATATATATATAATATATATATATATATATATATATATATATATATATATATATATATATATATATATATATATTGTGTGTGTGTGTGTGTGTGTGTGTGTGTGTGTGTGTGTGTGTGTGTGTGTGTGTAATTTGTAGTACACATTCACTTTTTTAAATTATCAACCATGAATTTAAACAAAATAAAACTTTTTTTTAAAACTAAAATGCATAAACTGCTTTTAGTTTTTTAATACTACTGTTTTGTTATTTAATAATTACTTGTATATTAATTTTTCATAGCATCTCATATTTTATCAAATAACACTATAACACAATTTTTGTCCTTGAATTCAAAGTTTTGATTTCAAAGAATTTAGATAAAAAAATTATTTAAAAAGGTTCAGAAACAAGTAGACTATTTAGAATTGCGAGTCTAATAGAAATTACTTTAACAAAGCAGTGCCCACAAGCAGGACACATTATCCTTAGAGTAAGCTCCATGTTCTCTTTGAACTTATCAAGATGCATGTCAAGAATATGGACTTTAAGTGACATTTTGCATCCCATTATGATATAGTTATTTATAAGAATCAAATAGCTTTCACCACATTATTATCCAGGAAAATACAAACAACTGCAAAAAACTGCTCCGAAGCACTCTCTTATCACCTGTTGTTCATTAAACTTGGTGAACTCACCACATACTATAAAATTCTTGATCTGTGGCCTGATGAAGATACTGGCTCTCTCCTTAGTCTTGGAATGCTTTTATAAAAGGTTTTGAAGGTACTAAAAAGGTGTTCTTGTCAAGAGCAATACTAAATTACTTGATGAGACCCAATATGATATGCAGTGATAACATAAGCTCTTTCTTAAGTTCTATCAGCAGCTCCCACTAAATTTTTCTTAGCCACAGAAAACTTGGTCTATTGTGGTCATCCCTTTCAGTAATAGTGTACCTCAATGTCACAGCTGTCCTATAAGCAAAGCAAACAAAGACACTTTGGAGTCTCCAATGCCAATTTAAAGTCTCCAACAACCTCTTATTTATAGTTTTTATACTTTAAAGCACTTATCTTGACACTGATGTATTTTTCTTTGAGATGCACAGAGTGAACTATCAGAACAGACAAATAGTTGTTATTATTGGCAAGCAACACTACGAGATGAACTATTTATAAATAGACTATTCACTCAGGTTATATGTAGTACCAATAGCCTCAAAAAGACAGGCCACATTGTTGTAGAAGTACAGTCAATCTTTTTTACTGACGAAGTCAGAAAACGTTTGATGCTTCTCTGGTCTATGACTTACACACTTTTACCCAACAAATTCCATTGTTGGAGCCTAAGTATCAGATGCTCAGCATTTAACTTAGCATTACATAGGTCTCTGATAAGATAGTTGATACCTCTTCAGGTTTAAGAAAGTATGTCCTCATTGCCTCAAATGCTCCTGTGAAAGTGTAATTTATCTATATCTCCAATATGTTCCTCACTGTTAAACTTGTAGCTTTTCGTTAAGATGGCAGATTCCTGTTAGAGGGAGCAGAAACAGTCAACTTGGAGTTGTGCAGTTCTTGAGTAATGGATGAAGAATTATCTAAATATACTTTTTAGGATCCATTCATGCCTGAGTAACATTTTGCGCAATCAACTATGCAGAAGTAGCAACTGCTTGAGCGGCTAACAAACTTTATGGCTCTCTTGTCTCCTCTATATCATCCTGTAACATAGCACATGTAACTAATAATATTAATTTGAAAGCAGGAAATTTGACACATTACTAAATACAGGGTGTATTGCTAATATTTTCCTAACACTGATGTACAACTTTGTCAATTGCAACATTTTAAAATGAACTAAATATATTTAAATCATTGAAATTCTACATAATAATTATCCATACTAAAATGCATCTGCTGGAGGAAAATAGCCTCTTAATGCCATTCTTAATTAGCAATACACTTTAAGAGAAATTAAATAATTGCTTTTTAAGTGTGATTCCTTATTCATTTTTATCACCAATAACATAAAATGAAATGCTGGTTCAAGTCTATATAAATGCTGCTTCAAATGCTGTGCTTTTAAACTTATATGACTACTACTAGACAGTTTTTTTTTGCGTGTGTGCGTGTGTGTAGTTATTAAAGGGCTCCCAGAAGTCTATAGGTCTTATCACAGAGCACCACAGAAGAGCATTTAATTAGAAAATTCATGCCTCCTTCCTTACTAATGTTGCTTATTAGCTAGCATCAATAATTGGGGTTCTGATCCAAAACTCAACCACTGTGCCATGGCTGAATTAAAGAGCATTCTAGAAAGCATTATGGAGGTTTCTAGGAAGTTCTAAATAATTTTTGAAAGTTTTAGAATATTGTGCAAAACACCTTTTGGACAATTCTCTAGTTCATGAATATTTTAGAAAAATGCTCAATATTGAGCACTAATGAAGCAAAGTTTTTGAAAAACAACAGCTGTTTTTATTTGTTTTCAGCAAAACAGATAAAAAAAAACATACTTTCAACTAACAGACAAAACAATAATAAAAATGTTACATAATATTACATGCAAGATGCATGTGAATAAATATCAATTTACAAATGAATAAATCTGAATGCAATCAAACCATAATTGCATGCAAATGATAAATAACCTACCTCAATCGCATGTAAATAATAAATAACCTCAATCACATATAAATAATAAATAACCTACCTCAGTCGCATGTGAATTGCTAATATTTTTTTTAAATTATCCACAGTTAACTCATATGTTGGATCTGGGTCAAAAGTTTGAACACCCAACACACGACAGAGTATTTCCAGTTTTTGATTTCTAAAAATATAAACTTTTTAGAGTTAGCCAAAGTTTGATCAAAATTTAAAGTTTAACTTATTTTTTATGGAAAACATTTTATATTAATAGGACTTTTTTAATAGGTTAATAATATTGTCATCTACATAAATGTATATGTAAATATTTAACAGAAATATATATATAAAAATATTTAATTTTTAAAATTAGTTATATGGAGGCTTTTAAAACTAATTATATGTTAGTCTAAATTTACATTTCTTTAACTAAAGTTATTTTCCATTATAATATAAGTTATTTCTAATTAGATGAACAATAAAAAAAGCAGAAAAATAATTTACATAAAAAAACTAATGAAAAGAAAATATAATTTATCTATTGCACAGTATTGGAACGAGAAAATAAATATACAGTTAATTGATCATTATTTTTTAATTATAATATTTATCACTTTAAAACACAAAATTTTTTGCTTTAAATAATTTATTTGAATATTTACTTAGGCCTCAATATATTTTCCAAATAAAGCTGTACGATTGGTTAATAAATTTGATAGGTTTGCTAACATTTTTTATTTATTTGTACATTTTATAGTTAAACAAATACATAAAATAGTAAGTAGCAGTATTTTATGTTTTTAAACTGGCTGATGATAGTCAAATATTAACTTTTTAATCAAATTACTTTTTTATTTTTTATCATAATAAAATAAATGTGACCATCAGATTCAGATACAAAACTTCATTATTATTTAAAATAGTGTAAGTTTTAAACTAATATATATATATATATATATATATATATATATATATATATATATATATATATATATATATATATATATATATATATATATATATATATATATATATATAAATATATACATATATTTTATATATAAATTGTTTGTCAGGTCAGGTTTATCCTGCTACTGGTAACATATAACTCAGTACAATCTGCTTTGTATCCTGCTGCCTTGTAGGATACCCCTTTTTAAGCAAAGGTTAGGAGATGCCAACTCCAACTTAAAACACCTGATGCTTTAGAGCTGTTGATTGAGTAAAGGCTAGAGCAGGTGTCTCCATAAAAATACTCATCTTGGGCAGATGATAAATGCATCCAGCTGCTGTCTTGTAAAAGGTCTCTTGAGCAAAGACTTAAAAGGTAAACAGATTCTATCTGTTGACCAGCCTCGCACTCCAACTTCATCTATTAGGCTGGTGCAGATGTATTTTTAATACATTGTTTCCAGTTTAGGATGTTAAATGCTGGATCTTCTTGACTCGATGCATGGGTTTTGGTTGTGTGTCTGTTTTTATGACTAGGCAACTCATTCTATTATCTCCTAATAAGGGTACAGCTCTAAAACTCAGTTTTATGGTTCTGAGGCCGGCTGGTAGTCAGGTTTCCCGAAATCTGTGATAGCTCTCAGAGAGGCTGATTCCATTAACAGCTGAAAAATATCAAAATATTAACAGCACATGGATGGTGTCCCTGTTTTTACTTTTGGTGAACATTGTCAAGGCCACATGGGAGCTCTTTGTTACGGCTTAGATTTTATTATTAATAGTAATGAGGCAATTGCTTGGGCTATTAAACAGTGCACTGAGTAATATCTATGTTTCAAGTCAAGTTCTTTAACAAATTTAAAAATGAATAAAGTAACAAAAACTATAAAACACAAAAAACCACAGTCATCACCAAGTTCGCTAAACCTATTATTAACTAATATTTGTGGTCTTCAAAGTAACTTTTCTTTTGTTGAGTCTTATCTCTTGCAAAGTTCACCAGACCTATTTGCTTTTTGTGAGACTAATTTGAGTTCAGCTGTCTCATCTTGTGATCTTAGTGTTGATGGTTATCTTCCTTTAATTCGTAAAGACTCCAATAGTCACATGCTTGGCCTGGGCATTTACATTTGTAGGAATTCACCCATTTTTCAGGAAACTAGGTTTGAATCCATAGACAAATCTTTTATGTGCTTTCGTTTAGCACCACTTCACTCTATCACATTTCTTTTTGTTCTATATCGCTCTCCCTCATCTCAAGACTGCACTCTTCTTGATGTTATTTCTGATCATATTGACCAAGCTCTCTCTCTTTATCCATCAGCTAATATTGTTATTGCTAGTGATTTCAATATTTATCACACTGAATAGCTTGGTTCTAGTGTCAGTGACTCTGCAGGCATTTAAGCTTACTTTTTTGCCTTTCTCAATCCCTAACTCAAATAGTCAACTTTCCGAATCGCTTTCCAGACAACCTGAATCATTTACCTTCTCTTTTCAACTTGTGTCTTGTTTCTGATCCTAGTCAATGCTCAGTTTCTTCACATTCACCTTTAGGTGCCTCTGATCACAGTTTGATCTCTCTAAAACTATTATCTCATTCTTCTTTACCATCAGACTCCCCCTATCATCGCACATCTTACAACTGCCTTAAAGCTGATTGGGACTCTTTCCGTGATTTTCTTCGTGATGGCCCTTGGGTAGATATCTTTCACCTTCCATTTGACCAATGTGCTTCTTACATAACTTTGTGGATTCAGGCTGGCATAGAACTCTTTATTCCCTCTCGACAATTCCAGGTCAAGCCTTACCCTTTACCATGGTTTTCCTCACATTGTGCTGCTGCAAATACCAATCGAAACCATTACTTCCATATCAGCAAAACAATTCTTCAGAAAACAGACGTCTGTTTATTACTGCTAGGAACCATTGTAAAACGGTTTTATCTAATGCCAAAACCCGCTATTCTCAGATCATGAAATCTTGTATTTTATCTCAAAAATTAGACTCTTGTGACTTCTGGAGAACCTTTAATAGTATCAATAATAAGGGCAAGTCTGTAATTCCACCTTATTTGTATGATTCAAACTTTGTCACCTCACCTAAACACAAAGCTGAATTGTTTGCTAAGAACTTTTTATCAGTATCATTTCTTGATTTCACTTGTCTCTTTCTACCTGAGATTTCTACCTGCTAAACAGGTTGATCCATTGCTCAACATCTGTATTACTCCAGCTTCTGTATCTAAAGTGATTACCTGCTTAGACTCTTCTACAGCTTGTGGCCCTGACAACATACCTGTTATAGTCTTGCAGAAGTGTTCTCTGGAGCTGTCGCCTATCCTTTCAAAACTATTCAACAAGTGCTTATCAGAGTCTTGTTTTCCAGCCTGCTGGAAAGCAGCATCTGTTATCCCTATTTTTAAAAATTCTGGAGAGCGATCCGATTCGTCAAAGTACTGTCCCATTAGTTTTCTTCCTATTATAAGCAAGGTTTTTGAAACATTAATTAACAAACATTTAATCTCTCATCTTGAATCTTATAACTTACTTTCTGATCATCAATATAGATTTCGATTTTCTCGTTCTAAAGCTAATTTTCTAACAGTAATAACTGATAGGTTTTATTGCACATTAGATTAAGGTGGAGAGGTTAAGGCCATGGGTCTTGACATTTCTAAAGCATTTGATAAAGTTTGGCATGCTGATCTTCGCCATAAGCTTTCCTCTTATGGTGTATCTGGAAACATCTTTAAGATTATTGAATCCTTCCTTTTCAATTGTAGTATAAAAGTTGTTTATGATGGACAGCACTCTTCTTTTTATTCTGTAACCTCAGGGGTTTCTCAAGGTTTAATCCTTGGCCCTATTCTCTTTTTAATTTACATTAACAATCTCCCAGATATTCTCAAATCTAAGGTGGCTTTGTTCACTGATGATACTACCATTTATTCTTGTTATGATAAGAAGCCAACTCCCTCTAATTGGAGGGGGCATTTGAGCTTGAAAAAGATCTCAGTTCTGCTACAGCAAGGGGCTCACAGTGGCTAATGAATTTTAATTCAGATAAAACTCAATTTTTTTCTGCCAACCATTATCACAATAATTTAGGCCTTCCTATATTTATGAATAGTAATGCACTCAATGATTCATCTACCCTCAATCTTCTGGGATTGACTCTTACTTCTGATCTTTCTTGGAAACCATATATCAAATCTGTTGCAAAATTAGCATCTTTTTATCGAGCTCAACACTTTATTACTCTGGACTATATTCTTTATCTCTGTAAATCTCAAATCCAGCCTTGTATGGAATAATGTTGCCATATCTGGGGAAAATCTTCTAATGATGCCCTTTCTCTTTTAGACATGGTACAAAAATGTATTGTAAACATAGTTGGACCTGCCCTTGCAGCCAATCTTCAACCATTATCACATAGTTGCAATGTTGCTTCTCTTTCTTTTTTCTACAAACACTATAATGGGCACTACTCTAAAGAGCTGGTGTCTCTTGTGCCATTTACTTAAATTCTTTCTCGTGTTACTCGTCATCTCGTCATTCAAACATCCTTGGTGACAAGTGACAAGTTGGGTTCCGCAAGGATCTGTCTTGGGTCCAACTTTATTTGTCATTTTTATCAATGATCTGCTGGATGTAATAAGCAAAGAAAACAATTGTAAGATCTACGCTGATGACACTAATATCCTGAGCATTGTCAACTCACATGCTGCTCAACTTCAACTCCAATCAGATATTGACCAAATTGTTTATTGGACCAAGTCTTGGTTCCTGGAGCTAAATGCAGAGAAATGCAAGGTCATACACTTTGGCCAAAAAAAATTACCTCTTTTTTTATTAAAAAATTAACTCTTTTCGAGTACTTAATGGAGGAATTGGGCCCTTGTTCAATAACGACTTAAACAACATTTGAAGCAACCACCTCTGAGCGTGACTTGAGAATTCAAATTACCAATGATTTTAAAGTAGAAACCCAATCCATCATTACCTCATGTAATGCCAATAAAATGTTAGGCACCTTAAAACACACTTTCCAATCTTGTGATGCTTCTTTATGGCAACAACTCTACTCCACTTGGCCTATCTACTCTAGTTGAACGTCGTAAACAAGGTGACCTCATCCAAAAAACTACTACTACTACTACTACTACAACTACTACTACAACTACTACTACAACTACTACTACTACTACTACTACTACTACTACTACTACTACTACTACCCTTCAAATTGTTAAAAAAGGGAAAAAATACAAACATTTACTTAAATAAATTTAAATATTTGCTTTCAAATGCCCTACACACTAAAAATTTTTCTTTTAAATTCACTTTTTCTATTGATTATGAACTGTGGAACAAAAATTACATTAAATTAAAAATTACCGGTTCAGCAACTTGTATTTAGTATTTAGGCACCCTTCCATCTGTCTGTTGATGTCATGGTAAAGTTCTGTTGACATAATATTCTTTTTAATGACTGACCCTGTTTCAGGATCAAACAAATTTCCACTTTGATCAATGTTAAATTCAAAAAATGTCATTGTAGCATGGTCTTGGTTAAAAAATAAATATGGATGCAAACTAAATTAAAAACAATTAAAAGTCTACATAAATGCAAAAATTTGTATATCATAAATTTTATTTAGAGTAAAATTTAATTTTTTGATTAAAATTTTATTTAAAAGTTTTCAAACAACTAATAAAATTGCAGCATTATGAATGGCAAAAAAACAAAATTTTTACATTAAAGCTTAAGTTCTAAAGAGATTTGAAATGTCATTGTACAACTGATCAAAAATATTTATATAAAAATGATTTTAATTTTCCAAGGATGATAAAACAATTTATTTATAATAATAAGGGCAAACCTTTTTATGCTAGAAACCCTTGGATGAACACAATAGTATATAATAAACTAATTTACACTAAAAATGAAAATTTTTATAACTTTATGTAATTTATTTTTAAAAATTTTAAATTTTTTCTTTAATTTTAAAAAAATTTAATTTAAATTAAAAAAAAAAAAAAGCTAATAAAATGTTCCACTAAAGTCTCATCAAACCATTCCACATATCATGCTGTTTTTGGACATGCTATTTTAGGAATAGACCAGGGAAAAGTAACTCTAACTTAAAACAATCTCCTATCTCGGAACTTAGGTAGATATAAACTGCATTTAATACTGTAAAAAAGCAAATAAGAGAAGACTTTAGGGGTAAATCTTCTTGTTAGTCAGGTTTTAGGAATGAATTAGGGGAACGTTGTATGAAAGATGAAGATTTATCGAACAGACTGGTGAAGATGTAAACCTGACTAACATTGTCATCTGCCTAGGATAATTTTCCTGGGAAAATTTACTAGGATGCTTGGTCCAGTTATATCATATGTATATGTAAAGTGTATGCTTACTTTACATATACATATGTAACTGATGGTATATATGTAAATATTGTGATGACCTGACGGTATAAATGAAAATACTGTGACACTTATGACATCATGAAAGATATTCTTTATAAAATCTTAAAATCATCCATTAAACAAGGTTCATTCCCAGCTCTCTGAAAATAGAAAAAGTAATTTCTATTTTTAATACAGGAGACCCGACCAATATAACCAATTACAGACCTATTTCTGTTCTTCCAGTTTTTTTAAAAATATTAGAAAGAATAATGTATAACAGAGTATACACATGCCTAATTACCAATAAACTCCTATATGAAAATCAGTTAACCAAACATACTATTTTTCAATTAACATGTTGTAATAACGAATCTTTTAAAAATCAAAACTTTACACTTGGTGTTTTCATTGACTAGTCAAAAGCTTTTGACACGGTATATCATAAAATAAAAAAAAGCTTAAAAGACTTAAATGTTATGGCATAGCAGGTAAAACTCTTAGTTGGTGCAAAAGTTATCTCTCCAAACGAAAGCAATTTGTTTTTAACAAAAATTTTCAACCTCAAACATTAATCAACATAACAAATGGTGTCACACAAGGATCCATACTTGGACCACTTCTTTTCATTTTATATATAAATGATCTTAACAAGGCATCCAATTTAAAGACTATAATTTTTGCAGACGTCACAAACACGTCACATGAAAATATAAATATACTTTTAATAATATGAACAGAGAACTTAAAAAAATTTCATTTGGTTCAAAAAATAGGCTTTAAATATTGAAAAAACAAAATGGATACTTTTCCATCCAAACTATAAAAAAACAAATACTGTCTGTAAATATGAATGATCTTTTTATAAATAATATCATCCTAAAAGTGACAAAATTTTTAAGAGTTTTTATTGAAGAAAATTTGTCATCAATAATATTTCTAATAAAGTTGCAAAAGACATTGGAACTCTATACAAATCTAGAGAAATTTTAAACAAAAAGCAATTATCATATCAATTATGCAAATATTATATAGGGAAGTACACATAAAACTAAACTTAAATCTCTTTATCAGCATCAGAAACACACAGCTTGCAAAATAAATTTTAAAAATCGTTTTTCGAACTCTGAACCACTTTCTAAAGAAATGGATGCCTTAAATCTTAATCAACTAAATGTATTTAATATTTTGTGTTTATGTACAAATATAACGAACTTATGTCCCCCGATGTTTTTGTAAATTTTTACAAAATTAAACCTTAAATATAACCTAATAATAATAATAATAAATATAACCTACATAACAACAGCACTTTAGAAAAACCTTTTTGCAATAATAAACAACCTCAATTTTGCATATCTTATTGTGGGTCTTTTCTCTTGAATGAAATAGTACCGCCTAATTTTGTTTTTTCATCTATATTGACCTATTCTTTTTTTAAACAATTTTTAATAGATTGTCATTATCATGAGATGGTCGCAGATTGTCAAAATCATTTTTTTCAACAAAAAATATTCTTGATTTCTTTTGATATTTTAAAAAATATTTTCAGTTGCTATACTGCATATTGATTTGTTATGTTTTATTTTAAAGTATGTAGAGTATTAAATTTATCATATATTTAGTGATTATGTATTCTCGGTATATATTTATTTTATATAATATATAGATATTTTATTGTAGAAGAAAATAGAGTTTTGCTAAGGGCTTTGTGATAAAGTCATTACGATCTTCTAGAAGTCCTGCTTGTATAATATTATAAATCTTAGTGTAAATAATATTATACGGTAAATGAAATAAAAATAATAAAAATATCAATTCAACTATTTGTCATGAAATCAGATATAAATCCTCTGACCATTTTTTTATGCACTTTCATTTTTCAAGACTACATTTAGTTTTTTTTTTGTTGTTCTTTATAATTCTTTTTCTTTAAAAACTGCACTCTTTTTGGTTTTGTTGATAATCAAATTTTCATTTAACCCTTCTACAATAACCATTAGCCCTTTCATTTAACCCATCAACTTCAATGCTTTTGCTTTTTATAATAAATAAGTTATTATAATGGCTCTAGCATCAATCATCTTGTTGGCACAAAATTTCAGAACTTTTGCCATTTTAAATGTTACTCAGATAATCAACTTCAAAACAAATTATGTAGATAACCCAAACCTTTGCTCTTTGGTTTGTGTCTTGTTTCAAATCTAGCACTTACTCTTCATTCTTTATTAGGCTTTCATACCATGCGGTTATCTTGCTAAAACTCATTCTACCTCTGTGTAAAATTCACTTTACTTTAGCTAACTTCTTTGATATTTCATACAACAAATTTAGAAAACTAAGATTTTTTCATAGTTTTCCTTGTAATGAACCTTAAACTGATGTCTTTCATTTTTCTAATAAAAATTGTGCCACTTGTGCAATCTCATAGATTCATGCAGCAATTTAAGTTTTTATTCAATCTTGTCAGTTTTAATTCAATTCCTTAATCTACTTTACACTAACTTTCTTGTGCATTTGTAAACAATATTCTTTTGTTTATCTTTACTAAAATAACTTTCTTGAAAAAAACTTTTGTATATCACAAAAAAAAGTATATTCTGAGGCCATTTATTAAACCTTACATTTTTACCTTACAACTTTATAATTCTTCTACTGCTTGTGATCCAGAAAACATGTATTTCTTTATCATGTTGCATACTGCAACCTGATAAAAAAATACATGTACATACTTACATAAAAATACATGTACATACATACATAAAAAAATATATGTACATACATGTACATACTATAAAAATAAGTAAAAGCTCTTCTAAAACTCCAGATCTCATCTCTGTACAAGTTTTCAGCAATAATTAAATAATATTGTTTTACAATTTCCATAGTGAGGCATTTATAATTAAATAACTTTACAACTCTTCTACTGCTTGTGATCCAGAAAACATTGCTATTTAATAAAAAAAAATTCTGATACTAATAACAACTACTAACAACTATTAACCTAACAGTCTTTAAACTTTTATAACAATCAAATTTTACTTTTTATATAAACTATCAATCTTCCTGAAAATCTTACTTCATACCTGATAAACAATACAGTACAGCTTTGATAAAATGCATAAATCTGATTGCAATCATCAAATTTGAACCCTAATACAACTCAGTTGATTTATGCTAGTAATTACCATAATAGTGTCAATATTATTATTGTTTGTCCTATAGTAATTGTTATCTATAACAATATTGATGTTTTGTTATTATAATTGTTTGTCCTTATATTAGTTAATGGCAACACTTTAACTGGTCTCTCTAATAAATCATCATTAAAAAACAGATGAGATCAAATGAGAAAAGACATCAGATAAATAAACTCATCACAAAATTTGCAGCTAAAGATTGATTGCCTTTTTTGTTGAGCTTGCGATTTTCTTATGCCTGATTAATTCTCTACCAAAACTCATAGTATATGAGACAAACATTTACTTTAAATTATATATATATATATATATATATATATATATATATATATATATATATATATATATATATATATATATATATATATATATATATATATATATATATATATATATATATATATATATATATATATATATATATATATATATATATATATATATACATATATATATATATATGTATATATATATATATATATATATACATATATATAAGTTTTTAAGTTCAATAAACCTATGTTCCCATTTTCGTTTCAGTTGAACCATTAAACAATTGTTGTCAACAGTTTTTGAAGATACGGAGCATGTGGAAAAATCCTTTAAAAAAAAAACAATAAAAAAAATGAAAATAAAAATACAAAATAGAAAAACAATAAAATTCCATTTTCTGCCTAACCTGTGACATCTCCAATAAGAAGCCAACAACAAAATGCTTAAAACCTCGCAAATCAGTTGAACAAAGATCACTTGTAAATACAGAATTCTCACAGTCAATAAGCTGTGAGTTAAAAAAATGTACAAAGTTTCTTATTTCACTCCAACAAGGATTATTTACACCACAATATCTATATATAAATAGTCTAATATAAAAATTTAGTTTTAAAAAATCAGTAAAACAAAACAAACTGATAATCAATGTTAAAAAAAACTAAAAAGATATATATATATATATATATATATATATATATATATATATATATATATATATATATATATATATATATATATATATATATATATATATATTTATAAATATATATAAAGTTACTTCAATAATATCTGCAAACAATCTTTTTGAGTAATTATTATTTGTGAATTATCATAAACGAATTTGTCTAAGGTATGTATATAACTTTTTGTGATATGATTTCCATAATGAACATCAAATCTAGTTTTTCCACTATAGATACTCAAGTACTGACAAACACGTTGATAACAATTTTTCTTATATTCTTCTGAGTCATACCAAATACTTTCAGAAGCATCTTAAATATATGTATGTATGTAATTATATACATGTAAGTATGAGTATATATATATATATATATATATATATATATATATATATATATATATATATATATATATATATATATATATATATATATATATATATATATATATATATATATATGTGTATATATATATATATTGATACAGTGTAATACTTTAAAAGAATATTTGAGTTAACTGTAAACAAGAAAACATATTTTATAAGTTGGAATAGTAAACATAATAACAAAATAAAATGTTCCTAAAATTATTTTAGAAAAAAAAACTACATTTTTACCACATTTACTTGTTGAAACATGTTAATTTAAGTTATTTGTTATTGGATGAACAACAAAAAGCAGAAACATCTACTTATTGATATTTTTCTTGAAAATTTTAAATTTTTACATTTTTTTTTTCTTTTTATATCATTTTATTTATAGCAAATAAAAATAATTGCCAAAAAATTAAAGTTTTTAAAAATTAGTAGATTACCAATAAATAAAATTTATAGCAAGCAAATAAGCTGGGCGCATCAATAAATCAAACAAGTGTTTCTTTTGTTGGCTTTGCCAAAAAAAGAAAAGCACGTGCTTTTTAGGGCAATAAGGATGAAAAACACTAAACATACATTTATTTTAAATTATTACATTTAATATAAAAAAACTCACTTAAGTTTTAAATTAACAAACTAAACTATAAAATGTAAAAAAAATCTCTTGAAAAGTTTGGTGCTTGCTCTAAAAATACTTGAAAAACTTAGTGCATAAAACATGTTATTAGTGGTTTCATAACCTGACCCTCATACCTTGTCTGCTAAGAAATAAAATAGCTTTAAAAAACTAATAAAAAGTTTAAAATAAAATAAAAAAATTAGTTTTAATTGAATCAATCTGAAACTTTATTAACTTGCAAACATTTGAAAAATTGCAGAGTTTTAATTTTTCAAAGAAAAATATTAAATAACTAATAGCAAAAATTAGTGGTATCTAGAGTGAGTAAAAAATACTTATTACATAATTATATATTATATATAAATATTTAGTATTTACATTTAAGTTAATTTATATTTAATATTAATAAAGTTAACATTAACAGTTTAAGTTAACAGTTAAAGTAAAATTAACAAGTATATAAATATTCTATTAAAGATTATGCAAAAAATGAAAACATAAGAACACTTTTTTAGGCTAAGAACTTTTAACACTTTTATGGAAAATAATGAATAAGCTTTTCCTTTTAAATTTACATAAAAATAATTTGAAATAAAAATAAACAAGATAAAATAATGCAAAATAAAATCAAGATAGGTGCAAATATATATGAATAAAAAATATAAAATTGCATGAACTCAGCGGTTGGTTTTATATGTAAAAAGAAATATAGAAAAGTTTGTTTTAATATGTTAATACAATGTTTAAAATTTAATGTTTATTTATTTGTTTATTTCTTATCTAAATTGCAACCTAGTTACAATCTAAATAATAAATAAACTTGATAAATATATAAATTATCATCTTAAGGGTAACTATAAAAAATATTCTAATAACAAACAAACTGTAATAAATAAATTTCAGAATTTATAGTAGTCATTTAAAATTTAAAACTTTGTAAAAAAACAGATATTAAAAAGTTATTTGAAAATATGAAAAATTGAAAATAATAATTAAACCTTTGATTGAGGTAGTTTGATCAGACAGTAAGCTTAAAACTTCACAAGGAGATAGACAAGTTACATTTGGCAACATATTAACAACACCATAATTTACTTCAGTAGATTTGTTTGATTCCTAAAAGTTAAAATAATGTTTAATTAGTATAAAGCTCCTACTTTGTCCTTGTATTTAGATATTCAAAAAAATTGATTTAGTGATTTACACTTTAGGATCTTCAATAAAAGTAAAAAAGACAAAAAAAAAATCACTATAAGATCTTCAATAAAAATAAAATTTTAATAATACCAGTCTAACACTTTTTTTTTTTTTTTTTTTTTTATTTGCATTCACTCCCAACAAGGCTGCAAGCAACCACTATTAAGTTGGGAGTTACTAGGAAAAAAAAGAACAGAGTTATAGAGCAAGGAAACGGTTGACAAAAGACTTGAAAAGTTGAAGGTTGTATGAGTCAGGAAAACATGAAGATGGGAGAAAGTTCCAAAGGATTGAAGTGCCGGGAAAAAAACTAGATGAATAAAAGTTTTTAGAGCATGCAGGGACAGACACAGTAAATGAATGAGACTTAGCTGAATGACGAGTAAAACGAGAATGAATTTTAGTTGATGGAACTAGAGATGATAACTCCTTTGAGCAATGACCATGATGGTATTTGTAGAAAAGAGAAAGAGATGCAACTTTACGACGATTAGAAAGAGGTTCAAGCTTAGCAGAAAGTCCAGGTCCAACAATATTTACAATGCGTTTTTGGACCTTTTCAAGAAGAGAGAGTGAATTGTTAGAAGAACCAGTCCAAATATGACAACAGTATTCCATACAGGGACGAATAAGAGATTTGTAGAGGTAGAGAATGGAATCAAAAGTAAGGAAATGGCGAGCATGATAAAGAGAAGCAACCTTAGCAGAAGCTAATTTAGCAATCAATTGTATATATGGTTTCCATGAAAGGTCAGTAGTAAGCGATAATCCAAGAAAACGTAAAGAGGAGGACTCAGTAAGAGGATTGCCATTCATTAATAAAGGAATGTTGACCAGATCGGATTCAAGATCAGCTGCTTGTTCTAAGCGATTGAAAAGAGAAGACTTTTTGTCAAGACAGGAGTATAAAGTTTATTATTAAAAAATTATATAGCTGAGTCATCAGCAAAAAGAGCTACTTTAGATGAAAGGTTGTCAGGAAGATCGTTTATGTAGATAAGAAACAAAACAGGGCCCAGGATGGAACCTTGGGGAACCCCAGAAGTTACTGGAAATAAAGAAAAGTGTTGGCCTTCAAGGATGACTTTAATAAAACAGTTAGAAAGAAATGATTTGATAATCTCAAAAACTTTCCCAGAAACACCATACGAAGCAAGCTTATAGAGAAGACCAGCATGCCAAACTTTGTCAAAGGCTTTAGATATGTCAAGAGCAATAGCCCTAGCCTCACCGCTTCCATCTAATGCATGATATAATCTTTCAGTTACAGCAGTTAGCAAGTCGGCCGTAAAGCGAGAGGAACGAAAACCGTATTGATTGTCTGACAGTAGTTTATTTGACTCAAGATGAGATGTGAGGAATTTGTTGATCAAACACTCAAAGACCTTGCTAATAACAGAAAGAAGACTGATCAGACAATAATTAGAGGGGTCAGAATTTTTTCCAGAGTTTTTAAATATTGGAACCACAGATGCCATTTTCCAACAAGCAGGAAAACAAGACTCAGTCAAACACTTGTTTAGAGAGTTTAGAGAGAATTGAAGAAAGGTCTGGAGAAAAATTCTGAAAGACTGTGACAGGAATGTTGTTTGGACCACAAGCTGTAGACGAGTTTAATTGAGATATGACTTTAGCAACAGAAGCCGGAGTGATTTGAATGTCTAATAATGGGTCAACCTGTTTGACTGGAATGGAAGGAAGAGAATGTCCATAAGATTTAAGAGTGGAATTAGAAGAAAAGTTCTTTTTTAGTTCGGCCTTATCCTTGGGAGAGTTAATAAGATCAGTCCCATGAATGAGGGATGGAATGTTAGATCATCCCTTGTTAATAATACTGTTGAAGATTTTCCAAAAGTCTTTAGAGCCTAACTTCTGCAATAAGATGCGAGATTTAGTGAACTGAGAATAATGGAGTTTAGCATCAGAAAGCACCTTTTTACATCGATTTCTTGCAATAATAAATAGCCGTTTGTTCTCAAGAGAGTTGTTCTTTTGAAAAAGATGAAAAAAATGATTACGATTGGATATAGCAGCCGCACAAGAAGGAGAAAACCATGGAGTAGAATGAGGCTTGACTTGAAACCGACGCAAAGGAATAAAAGTTTCCATTCCAGCCTGAATCCAGGAGGTTATGGAGGAGGCACATTTGTCAGCTGAGAGAGAAAAAACATCAGCCCAAGGACCATCACGAAAAAAATCACAAAAGGAATCCCAGTCAGCTTTAGGGTAGTAGTAGGTGGTGCGATGATAAGGTGAGCCCAAAAAAGAAGTACAAGAAGAAAGATTTATAGAGATCATTGCATGGTCAGAACCACCTAATGGATACAGGGGGGAAACTGAACAGAAGCTAGGGTCAGAGACAAGACTTAAGTCAAGGAGTAAAGGTAAATGATTAGGGTTGTCAGGAAAACGAGTCACAAAGTTTACTATCTGAGTAAGAGATTGAGAAACGCAGAAGTTAAAGGCTTTAGTGCCAGCAGGATCAGTGGTGTTAGAGCCTAGCCATTCAGTGTGATGGGCATTAAAATCACCAACAACAACAATATTGGCAGAGGGGTAAAGAGAGAGGGCATGGTCAATTTGATTAGAAATAACATCTAAAAGAGTGCATTCATGGGAAGAAGGAGAACAATAAAGAACAAAGAGAAAGGCGACAGAGTGAAGAGGTGCTAGGCGAAAGCACATAAAAGAATGGTCAAAGGATTCGAACCTGATTTCACGACAAATAGGGGAATTAATGCATATGTATACCCCTAAACCTAGCATGTGACTATTGGAGTCTTTACGAATCAAAGGATAGTACCCATCAACACTGAAATCTGAAGAAGGAATTGCAGAATTTAAATTTGTTTCACTGAGTGCAAGCAAGTCTGGTGAATTTTGCAGGAGGTAAGACTCAACTGATGAAAGTTGCTTCGTAGACCACGAATATTTGTAAAAAATATATTAAAATATTTAGGTGGTGGGGATGGTTTTTTAGGTTTTAAATTTTTGGTTACTTTGGTTATGATTTGGGTTTAATGAGAACTTGACTCATTCATAGATAGAGCACAGCCTCCTAATCGATGAGCTATGCAGTTGTCTCAGTCCTGTTAATTAACCCTAAGCCGTGACATAGAGCTCCTTATGTGGCCTTAACAATGCACACCAAAAGCATTAACAGGGACACCATCCATGCGCAACATGGCACTGTTAATACTCTGATATTTTGCAGCTGTTGATGGAATCAGCCTCTCTGAGAGCTACCACAGAGTTCGGGAAACCTTACTACCAGCCGGCTTCAGAACCATTAAACTGAGTTTTAGAGCTGTACCCTCATATGGAGATAACAGGAAGAGTTGCATAGCCATTATCAAGGAGGCATAAGCAAAATTCTATGAGTAGAGTCAGGGAGATTTAGCATTCATTATCCTAGGCAGGAAACAATGTAACACAGGTTACATCTACGCCAGCCTAATAAATGAAGAAGGGGTTCGAGGCTGGTTAGCAGAATTTTTCTGCTTACACCTAAAGTCTTTGCCTAGGAGGCCTTCTACAAGACAGTAGCTTGATGCAGTTAACATCTGCCCAAGATAAGTATTTTTATCAAGACACCATCTCTAGCCTTCACTCAACCAAGAGCCCCAAGGTAGGGGATGTTTAAGTGGATGCAGTTAACATCTGCTAAAGATGAGTGTTTTTATAGAGACACTATCTCTAGCTTTTACTCAAGCAAGAGCCCCAAGGCAGGGGAATTTTTAGTCAGAGTTTATTTCTCCTAGCCTTTGCCTAAGAAGAGCACACTCTGCAAGGCAGCAGGGCTTGTGGCAGGTGGTACTGGGTTGCATGATACCAGTAGCAAGATTGATCTTAATTATCCTGACCTGACCTGGAATAGTTAAAAGGAGTTACTTCCCGCAACAGTACTTTGAGAAAACCAGGCATGATATTTTGGAAGTGCATTAGGAAAAACACTGCATCTAACAAAATACAGGAGTCTAAGGTGAGTGTAGGTTTTGTAGTTGGAGTAAGTAGTTAGTTACTGAGTTCACGCTGCATTAGAGTATAAACAGAACACAAACAAACATAAATCAACTTACGGGTGAGTCAACACCGCGCCAGAGGTTCAGACAGAACACAAACATACATAAAAAACATAAAGTAACTAACGGGTGAGCGAACATTGCGCCAGAGGTTCAGACAGAACACAAACATACATATAACGTAGATTACAGGTGAGCTAATACAGTAACTAAGGCACCTCCAACTATATGAAAAAAAAAAAAAAAAAAAAAAAGTTACTATAGGCATGACTGATATAAGATAGTACTGATGACAGGAATAACACTCCTTCCAGCCTTTGCTTAGAAAGCAAATCCTGCAAGGCAGCAAAACATGGAACAGGTTGCACTGGGTTACATGTTACCAGTAGCAGGATGATCATAAAGGCCATAGTCCTGACCTGACACTAAATAAACACTAACAAATGTATTAATATATAATAACAACAAAAAATATAATAAATATAATAAACACCAACAAATGCAGTAAATAAACTTTAATATAAATAAATAATAATTTAAAATAAATAATAAACACTAACAAATGTATTAATATATAATAAACACTAACAAATGTATTAATATATAATAAACAACAACAAATATAATAAATATAATAAACACCAACAAATGCAGTAAATAAACTTTAATGAGTTTACAAACAATTGAAAATATTTTCTTATTCTGAATGAAATAAAAATACTTTACATAATTTTTTGAACTTTATTTTGAACTAAAAATTCAAAAGGTTTACAATAAAAATTATATATATATATATATACATATATATAATTTTTATTGTAAACCTTCTGAATTTTTACATACATATAGAACAAAGACTAGATTAATTTTAAGTTTTGAGTGAACACATAAAATATA